TTGTTGTCGTCGTCGTGGCGTTGCTGCTGGTGGCGATACAGGTCGTCTTCGCCGGATCGCTGTTGGTCACCGTCGCGTTGCTGCTGGTCGCAGTCGCGGTGGTGGAGCTGTTGGTCGTGCTCGTGGCTGTGGTTCTGCTTGTCGCAGTCGTGGCGCTTCTGGTCGCTGTTGTGGTGGTGGTGCTGCTGGTCGTTGTCGCCGTTTCCCCTCCTCTTCGTCCTCCTCGCCCGCCGCCTCCGCGTCCTCCTCCTCCTCCTCCTCCTCCTCCTCCTCCTCCTCCTCCTCCTCCTCCTCCTCCTCCTCCTCCTCCTCCTCCTCCTCCTCCTCCTCCTCCTCCTCTTCCTCCTCGCCCTCCTGCTGGTCGCCTTCGCGGCCTTGCTGGTGGTGGCGGTCCTGCTGGTCGCCGTCGTGGCGCTGGGGTGCGGTGGCGCGGTTGGTAGCAGTCGTGGTGGCGTTGCTCGTGGCAGGGGTGGTGTTGGTGGTGGTATTGCTGATTGCAGTCGTCGTGGTGCTGCTGGTGGCGGTGCAGGTCTCTGTCGCCAGGTTGCTGGTGGTCGCCGTCGTGGTGCTGCTGGTCGCAGTCGCGGTCGTGGAGCTGTTGATCGTGCTCGTGGTTGTGGTTGTGGTTATGCTTGTCGTCGTCGTGGCGCTTCTGGTCGCTGTCGTGGTGGTGCCGTTTTTGGTCGCGGTCGTGGTGCGGCTGCTGGCTGCGGTCGTGGTGGCGCTGCTGGTCGCAGTCGTGTTGTCGGTGCTCCTGTTAGTAGTGGCACGGCTCGCAAGCTTGGCGGCGCTGCAGGTCGCAGTCGTGGTGCTGTTTGTTGCCGTCGTGGTGATGGGGCTACTCGTTGCAGTCGTGGTTGTGGCGTCCTTGGTGGTGCTTGCCGCCTTCGTGGTGGTGGTGGCGCTGCTGCTGGTCACTGTCGTGGTTGTGACCCCGTTGTGGCGGTACCCTTGCTTCTGGTGCCAGGAAGCCTTCGCCCGTCAGGGTGGCCATGAGCGCGTCTTGGGCCGCGACCGGTTGGTCCACGCGAGCTTCGTCGAGCGACGGAAGAGAGCTGGTGCGGTTCGCGCTTTTTGCTTGGCGAGCAGGCGGACCAGCTGGAGAGAGTCTCGCCCCCACTGGCCGCCAACCTCGCAGGAGAGGACCATAAGGCAGCCGGATTGGCCAGTTGTGAGTTCACGGTGCCTGCGTCGTTTGCGCTGCTCGGCCTCTCGTAGGGCGGGCGGCCCCGTCGGTGTGGAAAGAGCGGTCGGTGCCACCCGTCTCTTTGCGGAGGGGGGGCACCATGGTGCTAATGCAGCGCAGGGGGACTCCGTTCGGCGAGACGCCGTCGACGACCACATCTAGCTGTCAGCGGTCGTGTGGGTCGTGGACGACGGCGTTGGTGTCTCGCAGCAGTTGTTTGGGAACTACCCTCCCTCCTGCTGCTCTTGCGACCCTCGCCCAAGCTCGTTCGAACAGCTTCGCGCGTCTGGCCAGGAGCCCGGTGCGCGGGCACGCGACCAGGTGGTCTCCGAGCGGGTCCAGCGGGGCTCGGCAGCCCGGGTGGCTGGCGGCTCCGCGCCCGCGTGGGGGGATCGGCCGTCGGATCCTGAGGCGCCAGCGCGTGGCTGCATGGAACCGCGCAGGTTTTTTTTTTTTTTTGTTCTCCTTGCGCGGGCTCACGCCAAGCCGAGGCCGCCGCGCGGGGCCCCTGCAGTGGCCCGCCGCCCGCCGCCGTCGGCCTAGGCCTCAGGCCCGCCGCCCCCCGCCGCCGCCGCCGCCCCCGTCCGCCCCGCCGGCCGGCGGGCGGCCGAGCCCGGCCCCACCTCGGCGCCCCCCGCCTCCGCCAGCCAGCGCGCCGCCACCCTCGCGCCTCGGCCGGCCCCTGGCGGGCCCCAGCCAGCCGCAGCCCGCCGCCTCCGCCTCCGCCCCCTCGCAGCGGGGCTCCGCCGGCCGCGGCGCCTCGTCTGGCTCCTGGCGCGGCTGCGCTGCGGGGCCCCCCTCGGCCGCCCCGAGAGTCGCGGGCGTTCTAGCCCCACCCTCACTCGGGGCCCGCTCTGGCGTGCCTCCCCGAGCCCCTCCTAGCCAAAGGGCGGCGGGGCCCCCGCGCTGCCGCCCTCCGCCTCCTCGCCCCAGCGCCCGCCTCCTCCTCCGCCTCCTCGGCCTCTGCGGCCTCCGTCGCGGGCCCAGCCGCTGCCGCCGGCCCGCCGCCGCCAGCCGCCGCCGGCCGCCGTCGCCCCCTGCCGCGCCGGCGTCCGCGCGGGCCCCGCCGTGCTGCTCCTGGTCGCCGTGGTGGTGGTGGTGGTGCTGCTGCTGCTGGTCGCCGTGCTGGTGGGTGTGGCGCTGCTGGTCGTAGTCGCAGTGGTTGTGGTGGTGGTGCTGCTGCTGCTGCTGCTGCTGCTGCTGCTGCTGCTGCTGCTGCTGCTGCTGCTGCTTGTTGTCGCTGTTGTGGTAGTGGTTGTCGTGGTGCTGCTGGTCGCTGTGCTGCCCCTGGTCGCCGTCGTGGTGGTGGTGGTAGTGGTATCCGTGCTGGTGGTGGTGGCGCTGCCGGTTGTAGTCGTAGTGGTGGTGGTGGTGGTGGTTCTGCTGCTGTTGCTGCTGCTGTTGCTGCTGCTGATGCGGGTGCTGCCGCTTGCTGTCGCCGTAGTGGTAGTAGTTGTCGTGGTTCTGCTGGTCGCCGTGCTGCCCCTGGTCGCCGTCATGGTGGTGGTGGTGGTGGCTCTGGTCGCCGTGCTGGTGGTGGGGGCGTTGCTGGTCGTAGTCGTAGTGGTTGTGGTGGTGGTGGTGGTGGTGGTGCTGCTGCTGCTGTTTGTTGTTGGCGCTGTAGTTGTAGTGGTTGTCGTGGTGCTGCTGGTCGCCGTGCTGCCCCTGGTCGCCGTCGTGGTGGTGGTGGTGCTGGTCGCCGTACTGGTGGTGGGGGCGTTGCTGATCGTAGTCGTAGTGGTTGTGGTGGTGGTGGTGGTGCAGCTGCTGTTGCTGTTGCTGTTGCTGCTGCTGCTGCTGCTGCTGCTGCTGCTGCTGCTGCTGCTGCTGCTGCTGCTGCTGCTGCTGCTGCTTGCTGTTGTCGCTGTAGTTGTAGTGGTTGTCGTGGTGCTGCTGGTCGCCGTGCTGCTCCTGGTCGCCGTAGTGGTGGTGGTGGTGGTGGTGCTGCTGCTGCTGGTCGCCGAGCTGGTGAGTGTGGCGCTGCTGGTCGTAGTCGTAGTGGTTGTGTTGGTGGTGGTGGTGGTGGTGGTGGTGGTGCTGCTGCTGCTGCTGCTGCTGCTGCTGCTGCTGCTGCTGCTGCTGCTGCTGCTGCTGCTGCTGCTGCTGCTGCTGCTGCTGCTGTTTGTTGTCGCAGTTGTGGTAGTAGTTGTCGTGGTTCTGCTGGTCGCCGTGCTGCCCCTTGTCGCCGTCGTGGTGGTGGTGCTGGTCGCCGTGCTGGTGGTGGTGGCGCTGCTGGTCGTAGTCGTAGTGGTTGTGGTGGTTGTGGTGGTGGTGGTGGTGCTGCTGCTGCTGCTGCTGCTGCTTGTTGTCGCTGCGCTGCTGGTCGTAGTTGTAGTGGTTGCGGTGGTGGTTCTGCTGTTGCCGCTGCTGCTGCTTGTTGTCGCCGTTGTGGTAGCAGTTGTCGTGGTTCTGCTGGTCGCTCTGCTGCTCCTGGTCGCCATCGTGGTGGTGGTGGTGCTGGTCGCCGTGCTGGTGGTGGTGGCGCTGCTGTTTGTAGGCGTGGTGGTGGTGGTGCTGCGGCTGCTGCTGCTTGTCGCAGTTGTGCTGCCCCTGGTCGCCGTCTTGGTGGTGGTGGTGGTGCTGGTCGCCGTGCTGGTGGTGGTGGCGCTGCTGGTCGTAGTCGTAGTGGTGGTGGTGGCTCTGCTGCTGCCGCTGCTGCTGCTTGTTGTTGCAGTTGTGGTGGTAGTTGTCGTGGTTCTGCTGGTCGCCGTGCTGCCCCTGGTCGCCGTCGTGGTGGTGGTGGTGGTGCTGGTCGCCGTGCTGGTGGTGGTGGCGTTGCTGGTCGTAGTCATGATGGTTGTGGTGGTGGTGGTGGTGTTGCTGCTGCTGGTGGTCCTGCTTGTTGTTGTCGCTGTGGTTGTTGTGGCCGTCGTGGTGCTGCTGGTCGCCGTGCTGCCCCTGGTCGGCGTCGTGGTGGTGGTGGTGCTGGTCGCCGTGCTGGTGGTGGGGGCGTTGCTGGTCGTAGTGGTTGTGGTGGTGGTGGTGGTGCTGCGGCTGCTGCTGCTGCTGCTGCTTGTTGTTGTCGCTGTAGTTGTATTGGTGTCGTGGTGCTGCTGGTCGCCGTGCTGCTCCTGGTCGCCGTGGTGGTGGTGGTGGTGGTGGTGGTGGTGGTGGTGGTGGTGGTGGTGATGGTGGTGCTGGTCGCCGTGCTGGCGAGTGTGGCGTTGCTGGTCGTAGTCGTGGTAGTTGTGATGGTGGTTCTGCTGCTGCCGCTGCTGCTGCTGCGTGTTGTCGCAGTTGTGGTAGTAGTTGTCGTGGTTCTGCTGGTCGCCGTGCTGCCCCTTGTCGCCGTCGTGGTGGTGGTGGCGGTGGTGGTGCTGCTGCTGCTGCTGTTGCTTGTTGTCGCAGTTGTGGTAGTAGTTGTCGTGTTTCTGTTGGTCGCCGTGCTGCCCCTGGTCGCCGTCGTGGTGGTGGTGCTGGTCGCCGTGCCAGTTGTGGTGGCGCTGCTGGTGGTAGTCGTAGTGGTTGTGGTGGTGGTGGTGGTGCTGCTGCTGCTGCTTCTGCTGCTGCTGCTGCTGCTGCTGCTGCTGCTGCTGCTGCTGCTTGTTGTCGCTGTAGTGGTAGTTGTTGTCGTGGTGCTGCTGGTCGCCGTGCTGCCCCTGGTCGCCGTCGTGGTGGTGGTGGTGCTGGTCGCCTTGCTGGCGGTGGTGGCGCTGCTGGTCGTAGGCGTGGTGGTGGCGGTTATGCTGCTGCTGCTGCTGCTGCTGCCGCTGCTTGTTGTCGCATTTGTGGTAGTGGTTGTAGTGGTTCTGCTGGTCCTCCTGCTGCGCCGGCGGGCGGGCCCCCGGGGTGGGGCCGCGCCCGTTCCACAGCATCAGAAACACGGCGGCAGTCGGCTAAGGGCCGGCGTCTCCGTGTAGCGGGCGTCCGCCAGGAGATCGGCGAGGTGCGGCTCGTCCCCGTCGACGGCCCGGGTGTGCGGCGGCAACTCCAGCAGCGTGGCCGTGAACGCCCTCTGGGCCGCGACCGCAGCCAAGCCTGTCCAGCGGTGTAGGTACGCCGCCCGCGCCGACGCTCGGAGTCGCTGCGGCGCGCTGCGGGCTCTGGTCCTGGCGAGCAGCCGGACGAAGGTCAGGGCCTCCTCGGACCACCTGCCGCCGACTTCCAAGCCCAGCACAACCAATCGGCATCTCCTTGACCCGATGAGCTCGGGGTAGGTCGCTTCCTTCCGGCCCCGCGCGACCGCGAGCTGGACTCCGTCCTCGTCCGCGGCTCTGGGCTGCGCGGTGCCGTCGGTGCGGACTAGCGACACCAGGGTCGCGTCAATCGCCAGCTGCGCTCCTCCCCAGAGCGGCAGGCCGTTCGCGATGACCTCGATCTTGCGCCCGTCGCGGGGGTCGACGCCGTCCACGTTGAGGCCTCGCAGGAGCTGATTCTCTGCGACTCGGCCCCCGGCCTCGCGGCAGATACGTGCAGCCGCTTTCTCAAATGGGATGGATCTCTTCTTGAGCACCCCTGCCCTTGGGCACGCCGCTCTGTGGTCACCTCTGGCGTCCAGTCTGCCTCTGCATCTGCAAGCGCTCGCTGCGAAGGGTGAATCAAATCGCAAGCGCCTGAGGAGCAGGACTCTGAATTCTGCCGGCGGGATGTGGAAGTCCCCCGTCGTGGGCAGCGCGGTGAAGGCTCGTCCCGCGCACGGCCCGCTCTGTGACCGGAGGAGGGCGCGGTCCGGCGGCGTGGAGGCGTTGAGGAGCTGCTGTCGTGCTGTGTTCTCCAAGACTCTGGCGGCCCAGAACTGCCAGCCGTGCGCCCATTCGCCGTGCTCCCGTTCGTGCGTCGGCGGTGGCCGAGCGCCCTGCGCAAGGTCGTGCCAGTTGGGCGCGGCGAAGCCGTGCCCCGAGAGGTGCTCCTTTGCCCTGCTGGCTTGTTGTAAGCACCCGGGAGCGGCCGGCAGCGGGCCCCGGTCCAGCTCGCTCAGTGCAGCGCAGATCTGGTTTGTGAGCTCGGGGCAGCGTTCGCGGAGCATCTGCGCGCAGTCTGCCCAGAAAGCCCACCAGGCCGCCGGCGCCGTCCTGGACGCGCTTCGCAGGCCGAGCCCTCCCATGCAAAGCGGCAGTTGGCAGCGTTGGCGCGCTGACGTGCCTTCTGCGACAGCTTCTTGCGGGAGTTCCAGCAAGTCGGCTAGCGCGTTGGCCAGGTTGTCGTCGTGCGCTGCGGCGAAGGCGGCCGTGTCCTCGGGAGCCAGCGCCCTCAGGAAGAAGTTGGCCCGGGGGTTGGCGCACATGCTGAGCAGGAGCCACGAGGATTGCAGGTCCCCGACGTGTGGTGTCCTCGCGAGCAAGCGGCGGTGTTCTTCCAGGATGGCCTCCAGGTGTTGGGCGACGAAAGCTCCGTGGCCGATCGGGGCCCCCAGAACGACCAAGCCCTGGGCTTCCGGCGGTGCGTCTGCTCCTCCTACCCACACCCGGTCTGCTGCTGAGCCCAGCTCTCGGATGCCAAGTGGCTCCTGCCCTCCCCTGTTCCAGACTCGCGTCTTCCCCATGTTCACGCTGATGCCGCAGTGCGCTTGGAGGGCGTCCCGCACGGCGTTGAAGAGGAACCTCGCTCTGTCTGGCGTGGTGACCAAGTACACGTCGCCAAGGAAGGCGAAGATGCGCTCCCCGGGCCAGAGTATGCCATGGACCTGTTGCAGGGCGGGGTGTTGTCCCAAGGCGCACAGGGCTGGCATGAGCGGGTCTCCTTGCTCTCCTCCTTCCGCCTGGTCGATCGCGTGCCCTTGTCCCGCGTCGTCGTGCCACCAGTACTGCGAGCGATCTTTCCCCGTAGAAGAGGCGGCAGAAGGGAAGCAGTGCGCTACCCCTGCCCAGGTTTGCTAATCCTTCGAGCATCGAGTTTCTGGACATGAGGTCGAATGCCCCGATTCCGTCTATGGAAACCACCGTGGCAGCCGGGTCACCCTGGGTGAGAGTCTGCACGAGGTGCGCCACGCATTCCGTGCCTGCTCGGGTCGAGAGTGCGAACTGGAAGGGGGCAGTCGCCTGCTCGACCTCTTTGCCCACTTGCTGCGCCAGCGTGCGGGCTACCAGCCGCCTGAAGACGTCGCCAGTCACGATGCCTCGCACCCTCCCGTTGCTCTTGCGCAGCGCCGTGCGGCGGCGAGCCGGAGGGCCTCTGCCACGGGGCCAGGGATTTCCGCCCTCGCAAGGAGCGTGGCAGCGTGGTGCAGGAGGTCGCAGCAGTGCTCGTCGTCCAGCAGCGTCTGCAAGTGTTCTCCCGTCATCCCTGAGGGGCCCGGCGCAGCGCCCCGGCGACTCCTGCGCACGTTCGTGAGGAGGCGGTCTGGTTCCAGGCTGGCGAGGCCTTGCGGCGGCGCGCGGGCGGCTCGCTCGCTGAGCTGCTCTCTCGGCCGCTGCAGGCGGCGTGCCGGGTCCCGGAGTTCGTCCAGAGTGGCCTGTGTGCCTGGTGCCACCGCGCTCGCTGTCAGCGCTTGCCGCGCCGCCGAGACCTCGCCGAGGCGGATCAGCTCGCGGGCCTTCTCGCAGCGGCTGCGGAGCTCCTCGTTTTCGTCTGGCGCCCGGCCCCGTCGTGCCTCGGGCGCCCTGCTCTGCCCGTTCGCGTCTCGCTCGGGCGGCCTGCGCGGCGGGCCCGGCTGTGCCTCTGTCAGAAGCTGCGCCCAGTCTCCAGCCTCGAAGCGGGTGAACCTCTCCAGGAGTTGCTCCTTGGGGATCCTTTGCTGCCCCGCCTCTCTCCTCAAGAGCAGTCGTGGGAGCAGGAGGAACAGCTTCCACCCTCTCGCTGCTCCTGTCTCGTCTGCTTCGCCCTCTCGGATCAGCTCCAAAGCCTTGCGCAAGGCGTTGCGGAACGGCCCCCGCGCGAACGCTGGCGCCCGTTGGAGGGTTGGCACGCGGGCCCGGAGCACAGATGCTGCGTCTGTCGCGTCCAGCGCTTCCCTCTCTGCCGCCGTCAAGCGAGCGCGGGCGTGGGCGGGGCGGCGCCCCAGGGGCGCCCGGGGAGGAGCAGCTCGTCCCGCGCCCCCGTCTCGGCGGGGCTGGGCCAGCGGCGCGGGCAGCGCGGGGCCAGAGTTGCTGGAGGCGCTGTCCTCAATATCCTCCTCGCTCTCGCTGGCGGTGCTGCTGCTCGAGCTGCCTCCTCCCCCTCCTCCCCCTCCTCTGGTGCCTCTTCCTCTTCGGCCCCCCCTAGCGCCTCGCCCTCTGCTTTCTCTGGCGCCTCTTCCTCCTCTGCCTCCTCGGCCTCTGCCTTCTCCTGGGCCCCCTCCACTGGCGTCGTCGCTGGGCTGAGGTCCTGCTGGCGCCGCTGGTGGCGGCCTCGGCGGGCGCGGCGCGGCTGCGGCCCACCTGGCCGGGTCGCGGAGCTCGTCTGCGCGCCGGTCGACCCCCCGCGCCAGCACGACCCCCCCGAAGAGCTCGAGCAAGAGGTCATGGGCGAGGTTGTCGATGTAGCCAGCGCTGTCCGCCAGCGCTCTGACCACAGGCGGCAGGTGCACGTGTCCAGGGCGTGCTCCGCCCCCAGCGGCGATCACGGCATATATCGCCCCTGGGCTGGCCCCTGCGAACTCCAGCCCTTGGGCGAAGGTCTCCGCTGGCACGGGGTCCGCTTGCTGCAAGGCCTCCACTGTCGGCTGCCACCAGTCGTGCGTGAGCGGGTGCGTGCTCCATCCCGCCGCCTCCTGCTGGTCAAGCAGCCCCGCCGCTGCTAATAGCAAGGGCACGTACACGCGTGAGTTGGTTCGTTCTCGTAGTGGGCCCGCCAGGGGAGGCCATCCGGCGAAGCGGCCAGGCTGCCGTTGCTCTGCGGCGGTGGGCGCCTGTTCGGGGCGCGCCTGTCGAGGGTCTCCTGCGTCTGCTGTTGTCGCGGGCGGCGACGGAGGGGCGGCGACTGCTGGCTCCGGAAGCGGCGTGGCGGCGCAGCCCTCGCAGAGCCAGGCCCCGTGCCATCTCCACGACCCCCCTGTGGCCCTGGCGGCCCTGGCGACCCACTCGATTGGCCCTGGCCGCCCGCAGGGGCAGCGCGGCGGTCTCGCGCCCTGCGGCGGCGAGACGTCGCTACCCAGGGGGGCCACGTCGCAGGCGCGGCATTCCCAGCTGCCCGCCAGCCCGCTGGGCCCGCGAGAGTGCCGCCACCGCAGGGGTTGGAAATGTCGCGGGCAGACTGCGCTGGCGTGCGGCGCGGGCCCTCCTGGCTGCTCAAGGGGTCCTCCTGCGTAAGGGTCCGCCTCCTCCTCACTTGGCGGGCCGGCCGCGGCTCGGCAGCGTGAGCACCTGCACCCTCGGGTGGGGTAGTTTCCAGAAGCGTTCAGGGATCCCACGAAGCCCGCGAGCGCCGCCACGCCACCCGGCGAGTCCCCCCACGGGCTGTTGCATAGGGGGCATGGCGACCTTTCGGCACGGGATGCGTCACCTGTGTGGTACAAGTGGGCCAGGCCCGCCCGTGTCGGCCGATGCCTCGCTGCGCACGCTGCGTGGAAGCGGTGGGGGACATGGCCGCAAGCTGGCCACGTCGCGGTGTCCCCTTCGAGCGGCGTCTGGCAGATGGCGCATTCCTCCCTGTCTGGCCGGTCTGGCCCCTGCTGTTGCTGCGGTGGCTGTCGCTGCTCCTCGGCCGCCTCGCGCCCAGCTGGCGGCAGGGAGAGGCCCGAGAAGTCCCGCCGCCTTCCCTCTGGTTCAGGGGGCGCTGCCGGCCAGGCGCCGAAAATGCTGGCGAAGTGGTTCAGCTGCGGTGGTGGTGGCGGTGGTGAGGCCGACCGCGCGCCCGCTCGCGAGTCTGGCGTGGCAAACCCTTCCGGCGCCGACAGCATGTGCGGCGGCGTCTCCGCGAGCGCTGGTGCCGGGGCAGACTCTCCCGATCTGCGTTCCGGCGTGCCCGGCGGATCGTCGGCTGGCCCGGGGGGGCCTGGGTGGCTGGCTTCGCCGACCCGTTGTCCGCGGTAGCCGTAGAGCGCCTCCCGCGGACTCCTCGCCAGTGCGCACTGCTCCTGTCGTGGTGGTGGCGGTGCTTGTGCTGGCGCTGGTTCTGGTGGCGGCGCTGTCGGTCGCTGTCGCGGTGCTGCTGCTGGTCGCTGTGTTTGCGGTGGCGTTGGTGTTTCTGCTGGTCGGTGTCGCAGGGTGTCGTTGTGGTGGTTGCCCTGCTGCTGCTGCTGCTGCTGCTGCTGCTGCTGCTGCTGCTGCTGGTCGTGGTAGCGGTGGTGGTGGTGGTGTTGCTGCTGCTGCTGCTGCGGCTGCGGCTGCTGCGGCTGCTGCTGCTGCTGCTGCTGCTGCTGCTGCTGGTCGTCGTGGTGGTGCCGCTGCAGCTGGTCGCAGTGGCGACGCTGCCGCTGGTGATGGTTGTCGTGGTGGTGGTGTTGCTGCTGATGTTGCTGCTTGTCGTCGTCGTTGTGCTGCTGCTCGCGGCGCCCTTGTTGGGAGTCGTACCGCCTCTTGTGGTCGAACATGTTGTCGCGTTGCTCCTGTGGGCTTGCTGCACAAGCCGGGGCGCCACCGGGGACCGCAGCGGAGCCGCGCGAACCCCGATGGGGAACTGGCCCCAGGGGAGTCCTACCGTGGGAATGGGGCTCTTCCCCTGGGGGGCACGGGCTGCAGTTGACGCCAGCCCCCTCCCTCGGAAGGGGCTGGAGGGCTGGCGGCCAGACGGCTGGAATGGCCGTCTGGGGCGGCGGAGGGCCCTGCTGGCTGCCACTGCTGCTGCTTTTGCTGCTGCTTTTGCTTTTGCTGCTGCTGCTGCTGCTGCTGCCAGGGAGCTGCCATCCGCAGTCGTTGGCTGCGTGCTGTGGTGCTGTGGTGGTGCTGGTCGTCACTGTGGTGCTGGTCGTTGGGTGCGTGCTGTGGCGCTGGTCGTTTGGTGCATACTGTGTTGCTGGTCGTTGGTGTTGGTCGCTGTGGTGCTGGTCGTTGTGGTGGTTGCCCTGCTGCTGCTGCTGCTGCTGCTGCTGCTGCTGCTGCTGCTGCTGGTCGTGGTGGCGGTGGTGGTGGTGGTGGTGGTGGTGGTGCTGCTGCTGCTGGTCGTCGTGGTGGTGCCGCTGCAACTGGTCGCGGTGGCGACGCTGCCGCTGGTGATGGTTGTCGTGGTGGTGGTGTTGCTGCTGATGTTGCTGCTTGTCGTCGTCGTTGTGCTGCTGCTCGCGGCGCCCTTGTTGGGAGTCGTACCGCCTCTTGTGGTCGAACATGTTGTCGCGTTGCTCCTGTGGGCTTGCTGCACAAGCCGGGGCGCCACCGGGGACCGCAGCGGAGCCGCGCGAACCCCGATTGGGAACTGGCCCCAGGGGAGTCCTACCGTGGGAATGGGGCTCTTCCCCTGGGGGGCACGGGCTGCAGCTGACGCCAGCCCCCTCCCTCGGAAGGGGCTGGAGGGCTGGCGGCCAGACGGCTGGAATGGCCGTCTGAGGTGGCGGAGGGCCCTGCTGGCTGCCGCTGCTGCTGCTTTTGCTGCTGCTTTTGCTGCTGCTGCTGCTGCTGCTGCTGCCAGGGGGCTGCCGTCCGCCGTCGTTGGCTGCGCGCTGTGGTGCTGTCCTCCTCCTGTCTCCGACGGGCGGCCCCGGGGTCCCCGCCTCCCCTGCCCCGCCTGGTCCTGAGGCCCGCTTTTCCTTTAGACCTGGTGGGGGGCCGGCGGCCCCGCCCCCCAGGTGATCCAAATGAAATTGTCCACATTTGACTTTCTCGCTTCTGTGCATGGTGCTTGCGCGGTCGATCGTCACTGTGGTGCTGGTCGATGGCTGCGTGCTGTGGCGCTGGTCGTTTGGTGCGTGCTGTGTTGCTGGTCGTTGGTGTTGGTCGCTGTGGTGCTGGTCGTTGTGGTGCTGTGTGCTGCTGCTGCTGCTGCAGCTGCTGCTGCTGCAGCTGCTGCTGCTGCTGCTGCTGCTGCTGCTGCCGCCGCTGCTGGTGCTGCTGCTGCTGCTGCTGCTGCTGCTGTGTTGGTCGCTGTCGCGCTGGTCGCTGTGGTGTTGGTCGTTGCTGTGGTGCTGGTCAATCTCGCCGCCGTGGTGCTGGTCTTGGTACTGTGTGCTGCTGGCGTGGTGTTGCTGGTCTCGTGGTCTTTCCCTCAGTGGTCGCTGTGGTGTTGCTGGCTGTGTTTGCTGCTCTTGGGGCTGCTGGTCGCCGCCGCTGTGTTGCTCGTGGTGCTGCTGCTGGCCGCGGTCGTTGTCTTCGTTGTGGTGCTGGTTGTTGGGTGCGTGCTGTGGTGCTTGTCGCTGGTGCTGGTCGCTATCGTGCTGGTCGCTGTGGTGCTGTGTGCTGCCGCTGTGGTGCTGGTCGCTGTGTGCGCGTGCAGTGGCGCTGGTCGTTGGCTGCGTGCTGTGGTGCTGGTCGTTGTCGTCGCCGTAGTGCCGGTTGGCGCGGTGCTGGTGTGGTCGCCGTCGTGGTGTAGCTGGTGGGGCTGGTAATGCCGCGGGTCGTAGTTGTGAGCAGGGCCTGCCGTGTAAAGCAAGGCGGAATGTAGCACAGCAGCTGGCCCGGTCGATTTCGCAACAGTTCTTGTCATGTGTGCATGGCTGTCGTGGCGGTGGTGCTGCTGCCGTTGTTTTTCGCCGTCGTGGCTGTGGCGGTGCAGCTGGTGCTGCTGGTGCTGCTGGTCGCAGTCGTGGTGCTGCTCGTTGCTGTCTTGGTCGCCGTCGTGGTGGGCGCCGTGGTGGGCGCCGTCGTAGTTTTCCTCCGCCTGTGGCCGCAGTTGGGTGCTGGCTGCTGTCGCTCTGGTCGCTGCGGTGCTGCCTGCTCTCGCAGCGCCCGTGGCGAAAGTGCGCTCTGGTCACGAGCGGCGCGCCCTCGCCGACACCCGCCCGCGCCATCTCACGGTCAGCGTCCTGTCGCCGGTGCGGGCGCCGGAGCTGAGAGTACCCATCCCCTTCATGGGGCGCTGGCTGTCCTGGCTTGGCCTCCTGGTCGCGGCGGCCCTCGCCACGCCTTCTCCTGCCGCCCTCCTGTGCCTCCTCACGCGGCTGCTGCTGTGCAGGCGGGCTCTGGTGCTGTCGCTGCCGCTCCTCGTCTCGTGTCGCCGCGCCCCTGGCTGCGGCGAGTGCCTTCCGGAGCTCGCTTTGCGCCCGCCTCGCGTCGAACCTCGCGGCCAGGCAAGCACGCCGACGCTCGAAAGCCGCCGCCTGCTCCACGAGCGCGTCGTGCTCGGCGTACGCGGCCTCGAGGGCACTGGCCGCCAGCCGCCGCGTGGCTCGCCGGCGGCCGCGGCGAAGGACCCGGCGAGCGTAGGCCGCCCGGCGCGGCGCCCTCTCGGTCGCGCCTGCCCCTTGCGGCGCCTCGTGGTCGCGTTGCGCCTCCTTTGCCTCCTCGTGCTGCTCTCTCGCCTCTTCCTCCTCGGCCTCGTCAGGTGCGTCGCCTGGTGCTGGCGCCGAGCGTCGCGGTTGCTGCTCTGGCTGTCGCGCCTGGCTCCCGAGTGGTCGCCTCGGGGGCCCTCGCCGCACCAGCGTCCAGAGGCCAGGCGGCGGACCCGGGTCGGGCGGCGACGGCGGCCCCACGCCGCTTGTCCAGGAAGCCCCCAGGGGGGTCCCCAGACCCTTCGTGGACCGGGTCTTCCTGGTTGGACCCTGGCGGTGTCCACCCCCAGGGGGGTCATGTCTGCCAGGGTCGGGCCGTCGCGTCGTGGCGCCAGGGCTGTCGTAGTCGTGTTGCTGGTGCTGGTGCTGGTGCTGGTGCTGGTGCTGCTGTTGCTGGTGCTCGCCGTCGTTGCCCCGCCGCTGGTTGCGGTGCTGTCGCTTGTGCTCGTCTTCGTCTTGGCGGTGGTGCTGCTGCTGGTGCTGCTGGTCGCCGTCGCGGTGGTGCTGGCGGTTGCCGTTGTGGTGGCGGCGTTGCGGGGCGCCGTCGCGGCGGCGGCGGTGCTTCTCCTTTGCCGCTGCCGCCTCCTCCTCCTCCGACTCTGCCGCCTTTTATTCCTCTTCCTCCTCTTCCTCCTCTGCCGCTCTGCCTCTGGCCCTGCTCGGCGTCGCCCTCTGCCGTGCGCCCGGCCTCCCTTCAAAAGCGGTGGCCGCCCTCCCTGTGCAGCCTCTGCCTCTGTCGGCCTGCCTGGCGGGGCGTCGTCCCGGCAGCGGGGCCATCCCGGCGGGCGCCGCGGGCCGGCCCGCCGCCCCCGCCCTGCGCGAGCGCCCGGTCAGTTTGGCGGCTCTTTCTGGCTCGTCCTCGGCCTCTGGCGCGGCCGTGCTGCTGGCTCCGCCTGCGCGTCGCCTCCCCTCCTGCTGCGCCGCCTCTGCTCTCCCCGAGCGGCTGCGCGGCAGGTCGGCGTGCAAGCTCCTGCCCGCGGGCCCGGGCGAGGGCGCCATCGCGCGCAGGCCCGGCCCCCCCCCCACGCGCGCGCGGAAGTAAAACTTTACGTGGCCGCGCGTGCCTTCTTGAGGTTTCCCTTGGCCTTGAGCCAAAATGGCTACGGTGGTGGGGAGCGTGCGTAGCCAGTCAGCAGCTCTTGGACCTGAGGCTGACTTTCGTCTGGCTTGGTTTGCCTTGGTGGGCCTTGTCATGAATACGTTTTCCCTGTCGTAGGCGGTGCAGGTGGACACGCGTCACACTGCCAGCCATGCCGCCCTCCCCCTGGCTCGGCGGCTTCTGAGGTCCAGGTTGGTCTCTGGTGCCCTTCGCTTTCGAGCGCCTGTGCGGCCTCGGCGGCGGCGGCGTCGAGATTGCCCCTGCTGTCTGGCTGGTTGCCGTTGAGGTCGAGGATGTCCCTGATAACAGTAGCCTCGACAGGGCGCCGCTGGTGGAGCATGTGAAGGGCTTCTGCCCGCGCGCCCCAGTAGGCCGCCGGGAACGTGCGCGCGGCGCCTTTTTATCTCATTTCCTCTCCTACGCAGCGACAGCGTCGGGCCGG